CCTCTCACCTGAGCAATTCCCTCACTTAAATATAAATATCTATATGGGCACAAATGAGCATCCTCAAACATCATATGCTAATACTCTGAGGGAATTTCCAGATCAGATAAATAAAAACATTGACACACAATCAGCGCCAATGCAGCCTACGTTTACTTCTTTTATACAAAGGATGGATAAGTTTATGGAATGGATGCAAATTAGGATGTAGTCACTGAAACGCTAACGGCTTAAGTCACAATATTCTAGAAGTCAGTCATCATCTATATTTGAACAACATCTTTGTTATGCTAATTTCAGAGACACACTTAACGCGTAAAAACTGCATACGTATACAAGGCTATTCTTTTTATGACACCAAACATCCCGATGGTAAGGCTCACGGTGGTACTGGTATATTTAACAGAAGTACTATGAGACATTACGAACGTTCCGAAAAACATCTTCAAGCCACTACAATTTGCATACTTATCGCCCAAATGAAGCTAGTGTTATCTACCGTATATAGCCCTACTAGATTTTCGTTAACAACTGACCATTTTACAAAATACTTTGATTCCTTAGGATCGAAACTCCTAGCAGTTGGAGATTTAAATGCTAAGTACACTTTCTGGGGCTCCAGATTAATATCGCCACGAGAAAGACAACTCTATGCAGCTCTAAATAAGGGACTCGAAGTCATATCATCTGGAAAGCCCACTTATTGACCGACCGATACCAGTAAAACTCCTGATTTGATCGATTTTGGTGTCCATAAGGGTTTGAATAAGGATTATATCTCTGCTGACCCGTCGTATGATTTGACTTCAGACCATTCTTCGGTGATCTTAACACTGACAAATATTTCTGAAGGTCAAAACTAAAATATTATATTATTTGTCAACTGGCGTAACTTTGGTAGATAAGTTGAAAGAAGTCTTCCAGAAATTTCTGCACTCCGATACACCGATGAAATTGAGCACGCTGTTGATGTATTTAACAAAACTCTAATTGACGCGGCTGCTGAGTCTACTATTGTCTACTGAATAATACGAAAAACATAATTTTTCCATCGACCTTGAATGGACTTATTTCTGCTAAACGTAATGCGAGACGAGATTAGAAAAGATACCGTTCTCCCAGATCTAAACTCAGCCTCTATATAGCGACTAAAGCCCTGAAAAAAGCCCTTGATGAGGAAAGAAACAAAACATTTCAATACAAAAATATCTAGAAAGCCTTGGCTCACAAAAAGAGCATAATTATTCCTTATGGAAAGCTGGAAAGAAATGTAAAGCCCCATTCAAAGAGAACCTCCTATACGCAAATAAGATGGCTCCTGAACTCGTAGCAATGAAGAAAAAAGAACTACTTTGGTACTACACCTGCAGAATATTTTTCAGCCAAATCCCCAAATGAATGACTTCCAGCCTAACATATCTATCCTAGCTGACGTACAAAACCCTCCAATTATAGAGCTTTCGGAATTGAAACAAGTTATAACTAACATTAATCCAAAAAAAGCACCTAAGCAAGACCAAATAAATGGGAAATATTGACCAATAAGTCTATTGCCACAAATCTCAAAAATTTCCGAAATCTACTAATTAAGAAAATACTAATTTTCTCACTGATAGAGAACTTAATTCCGGACCATAAATTTGGTTTTCGCTAAGAGCATGGAACAGTTGAACAAGTCCTTAGAATAGCGAACGAAATACACTTAGCTTTACATTCAAAACAATATTGTACGGAAGTTTTTCTTGATGCAGCGCAGGCATTTGATAAAGTGTGGCCTGAAGGATTTTTATTTAAAATAACGCACTCGTTTCCAAAAAATGTTCATAAACTTCTAAAATCCTACGTGACTCAACGAAAATATAGGGTTAGACAGAAATCTTTTACTTCACAAGAGTACGATATCAACGCTGGAGTTCCTCAGGGTAGCGTTCTACACTTCATTTATACAGCTTAACTTATACCTATAATACTCAAACAATTTGCTGACAACGTTCGCTGATGACACTGCTATAGGCAGTACCGACCGTGACCGCACTATAGCATCACAAAATTTATCCAGGCGTCTTGGTTTGATATAAGAGTCGCTTGCAAAATGAAGAATCAAGGTGAATGAAACTAAATGCGTTCAAGTAAGTTTTACTCTAAGAATAGAAACATGCCATGCAGTTAAAATTAATAATGTGGATATCGCTCAATCACATTCTGGGAATTCATCTAGATGTCAATTGAAAAGATGTCAATTGAATCTTAAATATAAGGAATTGTACTGGCTTCTAAATCGCAACTCTTAACTCAGTCTCGATAACAAATTGTTAATTTACAAATCAATATTAAAGCCAATCTGGCATTATGGTATAGAACTTTGGAGTTCAGAGTGTAACACAAATATAGAAAAAATCCAGAGAGTACAAAATAAAATTCTCCACCAAGCTACGTCAGCCCCGTGGTATTTCAAAAATAAAAATCTACACAAACATCTAAATTTACTAACTGTTACAGAAGTTATTCGCCAATATACACCTAAATTTCGAGAGAATCGCATCCAAATCCTCATGTTCGACTGTTAACTTCTGCAACTGCACCAAATTGTCTTGAAAGAAAATTCTTGATAAATATGAATACCTAGCTCAATAGCATACATGATAGTTTTTAAGATATGCAAAATTATTGTCAATTTCTACTTAGAAAGTTTCAATAAATAAATCGATGAAAGAATATATATAGATATACATATATAGATATACAAACATTCACAGCAAATAAAAGGCAAACAAATTCATTGCTATTAAGTGAAAGTCCCCAAAAAGATGTGATTGGAAACCGATTTTACTGTGTAAACCAAAATTTTTCTTTTACCTAATCATTTTCAATAGCATTTTTGTGAAGGGAATATGATATTTCAAGATTTCTGTTCATTCGTTAAGAAATTGTTGTCTCGCCTCCCTGAATTGAAATTATTCTTAACGGGTTAAGTATGACGAAAATTAACTAGTTACCTCAAGTTTTCTTAAATTTTATTCTCAAAAACTTTTTCACAAAATTGTTTTCAGTAATGAATCTTTCAAAATTAAAAATATATAAACAAAAAACATTTCCTTAAATTAAAATACCTTGAAAATATCTTATTGTCATAAACATTCATTTACAGCCCTGATTTTACGCTGTTTTTAGTCATGACTAAAAAGCATGATGTATAGAGGGTTATACCACCATTGTCAATTTCCTACCTTTACTACTATTTAGTACACTTTTTTGTGTCTAAATTTAAGTGGTATTTATTTGAGAAGGAATAATTTTATTTATTTTATTAGAACTTTTATTTTTTGTTTCTTTTTTTTTGAGCCTTTTTTTTTAGAAGGTTATCACCAGCAATGGAATTAGATGTTTCATCACCTCCAATAAGTATTATTCTTCTTAAGTCTTTTCATTATTAAGTACTGGTATTTTTTAGATTTAGGAATTACAGTTATATGACCTCATCATAGATTCATAGAAAATAATCATTAGCGAACGGTATTTATGATTGAACAACACTGTTTTGGCCAACATGACGAGGCACAGAAATCCTCGCCATTGTGATTAAACTTTTATCAGAATTTCTCCCTAAATTTCTCAATGAAAATAACAACAGTTTTATTTACGATGACCCTTGTGAGTAACTCTAATCACTAAATTTTAATGTAAGTACTGATGATATAAATTTTTGATTAGTTTTGTTCTCATAGATACAGAAGCTTTTAGGAAGAAATATTAAATCAAATTAAATTAAACAACCTAAATGGGATATGTAAAGTACATAATAGAATATCTCCCAATCTAACGAAAATACTTTACCACAGTTTGTTTACAGAAATCTTTTTAACTGGAAACAGTGAATCCTTTTCTTTTATCTTCACAAGCGGACGCAATCAGTGCTTTATCATATCATCATAAAGAAGTATACAGTTTTTTCTGTAATCAAACCTATTGCTCAGATTATATTAAATATGATAAATATGTATTAAGGTTCTAAAATATGCATGTATGCCGAAGAATTCATTTTAATGTGATTGTGTTACACTTCCTTATTATCCTGTTCATGTTTGTGTGAGTCATGAGAATTTCCAGTATGACAACAGAACACTTTTTTACTTCCTGTTATTTTATTACGGCTATTGTGCCGTCTCAGAATATGCATACACAAAAACATTTCAATTGTTAGCAAGAATAATAACGAATATGAACGCGTTATTTTCCTGCTTAGATTCTTATTGTTAAAGTGTTCTTTTATCCATTTATCAAGCTGTTTGCTGTTTGCTGTTTGGTATCATTATTGTTTGCTATCAATGGCACATTGTAGTAAGGCTGCTACATACATTTGGGTACATACATGTATAACATATATATACTTATATGAAAATTGCGCTTTCACAATGGAGTTAGAAATTATGGAGACTTTTAGGCTTTCGTTATATGACATGGAAAGTAAACTAAACATAATTTCTTTTCATTGTCAACTTGTATGACATGTCTTAGTGATAATTTCACACAAGATTTGCTTATAAAATAAAACATTTCGAGTTTAATATACACCTGATGAGTTCAGCATGCGAACCGATACCAAATTATAAGCAATTTTTTTCTGCTACATATTTCGTCACTTGATAACAATTTAAGTAATTTGTCACTCGACGAGTCAGAAATAATTTTAATTTGTGACTTATGTGAAGGAATAAACGAATTTGTATAAATTGTTACTTGTAATCACTCATTAGATATACAAAATTTTTATTATGTTAACCAGTAATATGTTTATCAATGACCTCATAGATCTCAACTGCTCAAAGAAAAGCGAGCGAAGAACAAATATTTTCTAAGCCATATACTTCTATATAAGCAACCGACATATGCTGTGCTTTGCCAAAGAAAAACAACAAAATAAATAAAACAGAACGTAAAGAAATAAAAAAAACTGATTTTATTTACCTTATTGTTATTTTTTTTATAATGAATTCTCATTAATTTATTTACATATTTAAACAATGATCGTCAACATTCCTGGATTGTGTACTTAAAACTAACTTTGCATACTTAATAATAAATATTCTTAACTCACTAATACATAGAATGTTACGTATTAACACCGGATATGGTTTTCTCTCTTCAGACAGTATTACTAGAGAAGACAAAGAAAAGAAACTGAGAGGAAATTTTGCATAATTGTGTCTCTTTGTGTAATATTGCAAAAAATCTCTCTTACTTATTCACCATACTAGAATTGTAAAATATTAAAATCGGCTTGGCTTATAACTTTAATGTTTACTACATTTATGGTTGCATATTATCATATGATCATTAGAAGAAATAGTATACACTATTGTTAACAAACTTTATATTAAATAAAAATATCTGAAGAATCGCACTGCACCTATTGACCAAACAACACTGGCAGCACTTTGCATTTAAATAAACCATACTCTTAACTTCGATTTTGTAACAATTTTTCACCGAGAGAAAAACTACAAACGTAGAATGTTGCTAGAAATGCTACATATAATTAATGTATCAGATGGTCAACAATTTAACCATAAGAGGGATATTGAAGAGTTAGCATAAATTTATAGATCATTAATTAAAAATTAATTGCTAAAATTTTTTTTTATATAATTGTATTTGTATAATTTGTAATAACACTGAAGATGGACCGAAATATTTGTTAATAAAATAT